CCCTAAATCCCTGTCTAAGCTTATCAGCAACATATACTAGATAAAAACAATAATCACAACTGAAAATATCAAACCATATCCAAACATTTCAACATATCATTCAAAGCCAACTAATTAACCATCATAAGCCAAGAATATGAGTTTCTATCCAAACTTAAACAAGGTTAAGGAAGAGAAAAGGAGAGGCAGCCATGCTACCTTCCAATAATTTCTTATAAGTGAAAGCCACCCCCCTTTCTTCCAAAACCTCTACCACACAAAGCTTTCCAACCACCAAAAGAGAAGTTTAATGGGTTTAAATTTTTGGTTCCAACTCAAACAAGCAAGATCTAGATGGACATGGAAGGTTTCTCCTCTCCTATTTTTCTCTTCAAGAATTTCGGCCAACATGAAGAAAAATGAGCCAAGATGAAAGATAAGAAGGAAGGAAAATCATTTGGTCAAAGTTCCATGGATTGCCAACAAGTATCAACTCAAGCCGGCTTCATATTTTTTTTCTTTTCCCCCTTTTCTTTTGTCCAAAATTTTGACTGCTTTAGGAGTTATTTTAGGGCTGATTTTATAAAGTAGTGCTCAAGTGGTGCACTCAATCGGTAGTAAACCGTGCACGTCGGTTCAAGTCGTTTTTCCTTAACTCGCGCGTACTTGCGTTATTACTTATGGTACACTCACTTATTATTATCACTTCTAATCCCACACATTTTCTTATCTAAAACCCACTCTTAACCATGAAATTTAGTACACGCACCTTATCAAGTGATCACATGGCCAAAATGCACAAAAAACACACCAAAAACCCTAGTATGCACAAAAACCCCAAACTTATGCCCTTCCATTAGAAAAATCAAAACTTGAGTTATAACTATCAAAAATTCATACAACTTGGCCTGTTAAAAACTAGACTTCAAATACTAGTAATCTTTAGAAGACACCTCAAAGAGATTCTGTTCATAAGTTGGTCCAAATTGAACCGTAAGCTACTACAATGTGAGATCCCAAAAATTTTCTTATTTTTCCGGCTTTTATTTTGGGCTTTTGGGCCTAATTTTAGGGTTTTCTTTTATCTGTGGGTTTTCTGGGGAATTTTATGAGAAAATATGAATTTTGCATCATTTCTGGGTTTAAGTCAATTTCTGTGCTATTAAGGGTGTACAGTGGTTGCGGGACCCACTAAGACGATCGGTACGGTAAAATGTAGCTTTGGAAATTTTATATACGGAAGCTTTGTGACCTAGTGTTATGAGTTAATTTGAGGTTAGTTGGATTAATTAAGTGTTGTAAGACAAAAGGAAGGGATAAGCTTGAAGGCCACATGTCACATTCTCATTGGAGGTTGAATTTTGACTAAGTCTTACACCTTTACTAAATCAAAATTTTATCAAATTTCTTCTTCATTTTGCATCTTCTTGGCCGGCCACTCTAGAGAGAAAAAAGAAAGAAAGCTCTTCAACTCATGCTTCATTTTCTTGCCCAAATCTTGGAATTTAACCATTAATCTTCCAAATCTCTCCATAAAACCTTCTTGCTAGGAGTGTTTGAAGTGCTTGGTGGGTTTTGTTTAAAAGGGAGAGCTCTCATCTACCTTGTATCAAGAAATTGTAAGGTGAGTAAATATGGAATTGTTTCCTTATTGGATGTAAGATGAAATTGATAAGTGTTAGTGGTTAAAGATGCAATTTTGTGGGTTATTTCATGACTTATAGATGAGTTGTGATAATTTTCTATTTATTGGGGAATTTTCTGTTTTATATGGTTTCTCATGATTAACTAGGATGTGGTGGTATTATATTGAATGATTTAGAGCCTATTTGTGGTGATGGTGGTTAATTGTGGAAAATTTCAGCATTTGTGAGAAAATTTCGGTTTTAGGGTTTGATGAAATTGGGGCTTTTCCATGTATGGTTTTCATGCTATCAATTGATGTGTATATGGTTGTATTGTGATTCAAATGGGGTGAATGGACTAGTTTAAGGACCATAAGTGTAATGGTACAAGTTGGGTGTTGTTCATTAGGTTGGAAATGTGAAGAAATTAAGGGGAAATGCCGCCCAATTGGTTGTAGATATGGGTGGTCTTGAATTGAGAAGGATTTGAATAGAATGGATGAATTGGGGAGTTTGTTCACATTCCACACTTTCGTTGCTCCATTTTGTATTTTCGAGTAACTTGTATTAGTAGGTTAAACCTATACGTTGACTCGTGTATGAGTCTCAAATATGTTTTCTTGCTTGTCTTAGGTCGAACCGGTGGACCGGGACCTACTCCTGACTCGAACGTGTGATTTACTTGATTACTTGGTGAGTGTATCATTAAATGGTTGAATGCTCTTGAGATGTGACTTGTATGGTTTGAATAGGTCAAGGGTATACTTTATCGCTCTTGACCACTTACTGGCATTATTGTTACTGTTGGACTGTGAAATTTCATGTACATATGTGGTTTGATATTTGCTAGGGCTATGCCCTATTATTACTGTGAAAACTGAGCTCTTTCCCTTAGGCCGTTACTCGAGTCGTGCCGGCTAGGGCTTGGGCGAGTCGTTAACGTGCCTTTGGGTCACTGATAGTCGAGTGGAGTATTCACTCCTCGACCTTATGGTATACTCGAGTATTGCCTTTTGTAACTGTGAGGTGTGCGGGCCCGGTAAGGGGGTGATTGGTGGAAGGAAATGGCGTAAAGAGGTGCCTACGGTTCTTGGTTTTCTCTAATGGTTGACGGAGTGTCAACGGGTATGATCAAGTATGGCAATCGGAAAACGGCCCTTGAGGGCCGATTGTATCCTTTCATATATGGTTGATTGAATGAAGGCATTTGTGCTTATGTGTTTGATGGCCTGTATCACTTATTTGTGAATTTGGTACCTCACGAGCGTAAGCTCACCCCCGTTATTTTGTTTTCCTTACAGGAGCAATGTTGGACCCCAAGTTTTGAAATGAGTAGAGCTAGTTAAGTAGCTAGTTTTGATTAGCTCCTCGGAAACTTGAACTTTGATGTATATGAACTCAAGTGCTTTTGGAAGTGTATAATTGAACCTTTCTTATGTATATATGGCATGTACATATGGCTTTATCAAGTCTTGGATAAACTGCATTATATATTTGATATGTTTATGTGAGTATTGGCTGCGATCGAAGGAAGAAAGAATTTTTGGCAAAAACACTGCCCAGAATCCGGCCAAGAATCCGGCCAGGTTCTGGCCGGATACAAGGCCGGATATGCAGGGGAAGGAAAAAAAAAATTTTGAAAATCTGGTTTTGGCTACTGGCCGCAATTCGGCCGGAGCAATCCGGCCAATTTCTAGCCGGATTACCGGCCTGATTGCCAGGGGAATTTCGACCCCTTTCGGGGTTGGCCTCTGCCTCCTATCCGGCCAAGAATCCGGCCGGATATCCGGCCAGATTCTGGCCGGATAGTGACGTGGCCGGTTACTGTTCATCCGCGGCAAATTTTCGTTTTTCGTTTTCTTGTCCGTTTGAAGTGCTCGAGCGCTATACGTTCTTGTGTGGTGATATTATGGTTATAAGAGTATCTTAAAGGGATAAATCATTCATTTTGTCAAGTTTTCCTTTTATTAATCAACTGCGATTTGATTGCTTGCGACCCGTAGTCCCGGCGAGAGTTGGGCAGGCGGTCCGTTGACCCCTCTGGTTCGCCTTAGGGGAAGATGGGATCGTCACAAGTGGTATCAGAGCCTAGGTTTAGATTAACCTGGGCATGCTAGAAATTTCTTGATTTGGGACTTGTAATTGATTGTTTTCGTAAGGGTGTTTGAGTTGAATTGTGTTTCTATATAGGATGGACGCGCGTAGTGGGCCTAGTGAGAGACCGATTGTGGAGCAGGGCCGGGGAGTACTTCCTATGATCAAGTACCAGGTCCGGCCGAGAGGGACGGCGGTACGCTGGAGTCCGGCAAGTCGCCTTCGGCGTTGTGAGTGCCGTCACAGGTTTGCCTACCCCAATACCTTAGTATTGGCTGTGGATAAAAAAAGGAATGAGTTGGCCAAGGATTGTGCACGGCTAGAGGCGGAAGTAAATCAACTGAAAGAGGCCAACAAGAGGCAAGCCGAGCGAATTAAGGACTTGGAATATGATCTGGGTGAGGGTCAAGATAGGGTGGATGACCTGTGCACGCAGTTGGGAGAGACACGTGAACGTATGGTCAAGCGAGCGAGGCAACTAAAGGAGAGAGCCGGATCAATGCTAAACCTATGTGATGACCTGTTAGGGGACGAGAGTGACGAGGGCTCTAGTGTAGGAGGCGGGGTTGGAAGTGAACCCGCCCAAGCAAGTAGGTCCTCTAGTCCCACGGTAGGCTAGGGCTTGGCTTTTAGGCTATTTTGGGCATTTTGCCTCTTGTATATATAAGGGATACGGAATGATAGGCCGGGAAGGACCCTTAGCTAGTCGCGTTGTGTAGTGAACTAGTTTTGTATATATTACTTTTGTATTACCATTCCGTAAGAGGCTTTCCCTGTTTGTACTTGACTGACTGTTTTGTATAAATGTTTGCTCTTGTTGTGAACGCTATGAATATGTGTTATGTGCTTAAGTGTTATGAAGTCATTGGTTGGCTGAGTGTTCATGTTTATTGTTATACACAGAGGTGTACACTTTTATATTAATGCTATATTTATGTGTATATTTTGACCCTAGATTGACCTAGAACGATGGAAGGCACGCGTAGTGGCCGCGGTAGAGGACGTGGGGGTAGGCAACCCACGACTGAACAGGGTACGGGAACTGAAGTGCCCAAACCAACTCCTGAACCCCAAATCGATCCTAATGTGCAAGTAGCCGCTGCTATCCAGCGGATGACTGATCTCCTGGCCCAGGTGGTGCAGCAACAGGGCCCCAACCCTAATCCACCTGTCGGCAACCCTGGAAACCCTGGAAATCATGTCGAGAGCGAAGATCGAGCTCTCGAACGATTCCAAAAATTTTCTCCACCTAAATTTCTTGGAGGGCCCGATCCGGATGTGGCGGAGCAATGGTTGGAGAAGATGATAGACATTTTTGCTGCCCTACGTTACTCGGAGGAGCGGCAAGTGACCTTTGCGGTTTTTCAACTTGAAGGGGCTGCTCGCTCTTGGTGGAACATTATTCGGACAAAATGGGAGCGAGAGCAGACACCAAGGACATGGACGAATTTTGTTAGGGAGTTCAACGCTAAGTACTTTCCACCGTTGGTTCAGGAGAAAAAGGAAGACGAATTTATTCGTCTACGCCAAGGCACGCAATCGGTAGCCGAATATGAGAGCCAATTCACACGCTTGTCCAAGTTTGCCCCTGAGCTCATTTTGACCGAGCAAAGGAGAGCAAGACGTTTCCTTCAGGGGCTTAATGTGGAAATCCAAAAGGATTTGGCCGTAGCCCAAATCACCACTTTTAGTGATGCTGTTGAGAAAGCATTACGATCCGAGAACGCAAGGCTTCAGGTGAGGAACTTCCAGAATAGAAAGCGTGGAGCTACTGGAAGTAGCTCAACTCAAGGGGATAAAAGTACCCCTCCTAAATTTGGAAGGGGAGCTGGAGGGGGACGGTTTGCGAGTCCGGCCAGAGGGGCTCCCTCTCGAGGAAGCCAACCCGGACGAGGCCAGCAGAGGAGTACCTCACAGGGGAGTTCCGCTACTGTTGCGCGCGGGCCGTGTGGCTTTTGTGGGAAACCAAACCACACGGAGGACGACTGCTGGAGGAAACAGAACAAGTGCTTACGCTACGGGAGTGCAGAGCACCGGCTCGCCAGTTGTCCAGTCCAAGCCCGAGACGTGAAAGGAACTACACCGACATCCAAGGCTACCTCAAGTCAATCACGGGTAGAAAGTGTCAAGCCGAAGGTGCCCGCACGTGTATACTCCATCGAACAACGTCCAGTTCCTGACTCAGCCGAGGTAGTGGAAGGTACGATTCCTGTCTTCCACCGCCTAGCTAGAATTTTAATAGACCCTGGAGCCACCCATTCTTTCGTTAACCCCGAGTTTATGTGCGGAATTGATATAAACCCTGTTATTCTTCCCTATGAGCTGGAAGTTAGTACTCCTACTGTAACGGCCCCACCTCTCCCTAGGGCGAACCAGAGGGTTCGGCGGACCGCCTGCCCAGCTCTCGCCGGGACTCAGTCGCTCACTACAGTCCTCAACCCAATTACAATATAAATCTCAAAATTTCATCAAATTCGCCAATAATTACATATCACAAATACAGCGGAAACTGATTCCAATCATGGAACGTAAACTTACATCCATATCAAATTCAAATCTTTATACAAGACCAACTCGTACATAAAATAGATCCAAACTTAAACTGTACACGATATAAGCCATCCAGTCACGTGAATAAGCACTCCAAGCTTTTCTTCGCCTTGAGCCCTGTGGGGGGGGAAATAAAACATTTTTGGGGTGAGCTAGAAGCTCAGCGAGTAACCATTAAAATCAGTAATCAATTCAGTTTCACAGTCGTTCATTTCAGTGATGTCATGATTTCAAGATCAAAGGTACATTTATTGCTCTCGTGAGCCAGCGAAATCGTTGTACTTAAACACCCAACGCTCCAAACAAACATTAAACAGTAAACAGTCAGTGGGGGAGCCATTTGCTCCAGATGAACAGTACACAGAGGTGGAGACGTTGGTGTTCAGCACACGAATTCCAAGCACTCATTTAAGCCAAAACATGTCATGGGACACATGCAAGCACTCATGATATGCAATCAAGTAAATAGTGCAATAAACGGTTCATAAGTAATTTTGGAAACAGTTTAAGGTCACTCACCTCCACGGCGCAGAAACCATCCATCATGTATCATTGCCTTGCTCAACTCCAAGCCTTAGATCACAAACCCAATGCAAACAAGTCCCTTCAAAGTTCGGACAGCACTTCCCCTACATTTGCTAACTTTTCCAGCCATCATGGCTTCATTATTACACCAGCCAGTCCCAAAGTCACACAAATAAGTTCATCTAATATCCATTCAGCAAGCTCCAAGTAGTACAAAGACAAGTCAAGCTAGGGAAAAGTCCGGAAATGAAGGTTAAGCTCAAAACCAGAAAAACAGTTTTGACGTCATAATGCGGTAATGGCACAACTCTCACTACAATTATCGGTTGGGGGTGTAAGACCCACCGTTTCTAAGCTATGAAACAGGGCTACAAAAATGTAGAAGGTCACTCAATCCAGTTCCTAGCCCAACTAGGTCAAAAATGCCAAACACTAAACCAGAATCACCAAAACAGGTTTGCAAAACACAGAAAACTGTAATCGGTATATCTCAGTCCATACAAGTCCAAATGCCGAAATTCCAAAGGCATAAGTTAGCTAAGACATCCAGCTACATTTCATCAGAAGACACCAACAACAAAATCCAAACCAATTCCAGTCAAAATGGCCAAATACAAACGCAGTTTTTGCATTCTGTCCAAAGCAGAACAGCTACAGTAATTTCGTCATATCTCATTCTACATTAATCTAAATGACCTGAAATTTTACAGACACCTCAAGCACATCAATACCTACAACTTTCATGTTTTGAGAAAAGTCCAATTCGGCCTCTAACCCTATGATCTAAAACCGGACAGAATTAGGGATTTATGAACCCTAACTTTTCAATTTTCACACCAAATCCAAAATTGGTTGCATTTAGCAACAATTCACACCTACAAGAGTCATTATAGTCCATTGCCAATCATCCAAGATAGCCACAACATCCCATTCATATTAAACCAGAAAATTCATCATAAAATGGAAAACTTCACCAAATCACTTCAAACCAAGATAAAAACCAGAAATTTCAGCACCTTAATCACTAATAAGCATAACTTAGGCTTCATAAGGTGTAAGAGAGTGTTCAAGCTTCACTTACCAAGAAACAAGAGAGAGGAGGATGTTGGACACCTTAAACCTTCAAACAAGCTTCACTACAACACTCACTAACATCAACTAAAGAGATTTTATGGAGTAAAATAGATGGAATCAAGTATTTTTGGGTGATTTGAGCTAGTTGGTACTTGAAAATTGAAGAAGTTTTCTTCCTTCCTTAGCACAAGAGGGCCGGCCATCCAAGAGTGAAAAATGGTGATTTTTGGGCAATTTTTGGATATTTAATCCTTTGGTCAAAAAGTCAAAAATTGGAATAGTAAATCTTAAAATTCACCCAATGAGAAAGTGACACTTGTCACCTCATTAAATGCATTCCTATCCTTTCTTTCTTCTCTCACATCAATCATTTCACACACTCTACTTATCTCTTAACACCCGATAAATTTTACACAGTATCCGAAACTTAACTTTCTTGGCCGAATTTTTCCGAACTTTTCGCACTAGTGGGTCCCACGTCCATTATATACTCTTAATTTTCCAAAAACTCTCCAAGGCTAGAAAAATCATCTAAAAACTATAATTACTCATAAAAATTCCTCAGGAAAATTTCCTAAGCCAGGAAATGCAGAAAACATGCTATTAAAGGAAATAAAACCCTCGGAAAAGATTAGAGTTTTTACGGGTTCTCAAACTCTTTTTTTCGGGGCGTCACACCTACAGGGGATCAATGTTTGATTTCTAGCGAGATGTATTCGGATTGTGAGATTTGGGTAGGTGAGCGGAAGTTATTGGGGAATCTGATAAGTTTAGTCATAAAAGGATACGATGTGATATTGGGCATGGATTGGTTGGTCAGATACGATGCCCAACTGGATTGTAAGAGGAAAATAGTAGAATTCCGTATTCCTGGGGAGGCAACTTTGAGGTTAGATGTGAGGGGTAGTCTAGCCTCATCTACTATGATATCGGGTATTCGGGCTAGGAAATTATTGAGTAGAGGGGCGCAAGGGTTCCTAGCTTTTCTTATTAACACTCCTGCCGACAAACTGAAAATAGAAGATGTTCCGGTAGTGAGTGAATACCCTGATGTTTTTCCTGATGAGTTAGTAAATCTGCCTCCAGAAAGAGAAATTGAGTTTGAAGTTAACCTTTGTCCAGGGGCTTCCCCTATTTCCAAAACTCCTTACCAAATGGCACCTGCGGAACTCAAAGAGCTGAAATTACAATTGCAAGACCTTCTAGAGCGAGGGTTTATCCACGAGAGTGGATCACCTTGGGGGGCACCTGTCCTCTTTGTTAAAAAGAAGGAGGGGACCTTGAGGCTATGTATCGATTACCGAGGGTTGAACAACGTGACCATTAAGAACAAGTACCCCCTACCTCACATCGATGAGCTATTTGATCAATTACAGGGTGCGGTGGTCTTTTCAAAGTTAGATCTTCGACAGGGGTATTACCAACTGTTAATTAAAAAGGAAGATGTGCCTAAAACCGCCTTCAATTCTCGGTATGGGCACTACGAATTTGCCGTGATGCCTTTTGGACTGACCAATGCCCCTGCTGCTTTCATGGACCTCATGCATCGAATTTTCAAACCTTATTGTTATTCTTGGTTTTGATGATCACAAAAGTTTGTTTATACAGACCAAGAAAGTGAATACTTTGATCAGGTCTGTTGGAACAAAGAAAGCATATGTTCGTTTATCTCCTGACTACGTTGCTTTGGATGTGGCAAACAAGATTGGAATAATATGAATGAATTTAGTCATTGTTTTGTTTTCGATCAAAGATATTGTCTTTTAAGTATGTCTAGTTTGTCATTCTCGGTACTTTGAAATATTTGTCTAACCTTCCTCAAATACAAGTGTTTTTTTGTCTATCCAAGAATCAGGTTCAAATATGTCATGAAATGTAAAACAACCAAAATGAGAAGCAAAAACAGGACAATCAGGTCGGACGGCCGAAAGGAAACTGTCGGACGTCCGAAAAAATAAAGAACATCAGGAAGGAAGCACCGTCGGACGCTCACATGGAAGCATCGGACGTCCGGAAGGATCGGACGCTTGCTATCGGACGTTAATCAACCGCATCGGACGTCCGAAAAATTCCAAGATGACTTGCTAGCTCTCGGCCCAAGGTCGGACGCTGTGCTGTCGGACGACAAAGAACTTATCGGACGTCCGAACCTCAACTTGGCTATCATCGGACGATTGGTTCGGACGATGATTCGATCGTCGGACGTCCGACAGCCCCAACGGCTAGTTGACTCTTCAGCTGCCTTCTATCCGTTGGAAGCATTGATGAAGCCCATTTCTGGATTCCTTTAAAATCAAACTGGTCTGAACGAAGTAGGGACTTTTGCTCACTTTGTTTACAAGTTCTCAAGGGATATTTTAGCTAGAAAATAGTCTCCAAAGCAGATTTGTATTAAAGTGGTGTGAATTTCTGTTGAGCATTTCTTTTGTGGTTGAAAGGATCTTTAGTGTAGCTTTGTTGAGGGTTTTCTGAGTGATTGTAAAACTTCCTAGCTTGACTAAGTGAGGCTTAGGGCAAGGAGGAAGAGCTCCCTCCATTGTACATCTAGTTGATCTTCGTTCATCAAAGAGAAGTTGCTCTTCCTAGTGTTTGGTCTTCAAGTTTGGGTAAAGCTTGGTAGACACTTGGTTTGTTTCTCTATTTTATATTTCTGTTTAATAAAATCTTCATTGCTTATCTATACTTGCTTCTCTGATTAATATTGCTATTGTCTTCTAATCTACTTGGTTGATCATTACTAAAAAGGAAGGTAAATTTTCATTAAAGAAAAAGTGCATAAACTTGGTTAAGTTTTTAATCAACCAATTCACCCCCCCTCTTGGTTGTCTGTGGGACTTACAATTGGTATCAGAGCTTGGTCTCCTTGAGATTAAGCTCTAACGGCTTGGAGTAAAGATGACAACCAGTCATGCTATGTTTGTTGAGGGGCAATCTGTTACTAGGCCTCCCATGTTCAGTGGCTCTAACTATGTTAGCTGGAAAGAACGAATGATTATCTTTTTGCAATCTATCGATATTGAACTATGGTTTATTGTGAGTGAAGGACCGCATGAAGCTAACTTTCTTGATGCAGATACAGGGTTGCTTCGGCCAAAAACAAGAGTTGAAATGAATGCTCAAGATAGGACTAACCTCACATTGAATGCCAAGGCCATGAATGTTATTTATAGTGCCCTAGATTCAAATGAATCAATCAGAGTAAAAGGCTGCAAATCGGCTAAAGAAATGTGGGATAAACTAAGAGAAATCCATGAGGGTGGTGACAATGTGAAAGAACAGAAAAAGGCCATCTTGGTCACGAAATATGAATCATTTAAAATTGAACCTCTTGAGGATATTGACAAAATGTATTGCAGGTTCACTGACTTGATCAAAGATCTCGAGACGTTGGGCAAAGAGTACACCTTGGGAGAGAAGAACAGGAAAATTCTCAATGCCTTGGGCAAAGAATGGGAAAATAAAGTGACAGCAATAGAGGAGGCCAAGGATTTAAGTTCTGTGCCTATTGAATCTATCATTAACTCACTAACCACTTATGAGTTGAAACTGAAATCTAAAGTGCAGGAGGAAGAGGATGCTAGAGCAAAGAGAAACATTACTCTAAAGACTACTCAAGGTGAAGATGATTCTGCTCATCTGGATGATGAAGACTCGGATGGTGATGATAATGATCTTGCTCTCATCACCAGAGGCTTCAAAAGAATCCTGAATAAAAGAAAGTTTAGAAGGGGAGGACCTAGCAATCAATTCCAGAATCAGCCATCTATCGCAAAGTATAAAGGCAAACAAGATTTCAACAAGAAACAGTTGGACAAATGCTTCGAATGTGGACAGATTGGACATTATGCAAACGAATGCCCCATGAAGAAGATGAAAGATGGAAAAGCTGATCGAAAGCCAAGATTCAACAATTTTCAGATTACTTGGAATGAATGCAACTCCGAAGGGGAAGTTGAAGAAGAAGAAGAATCTGCTCAAATGGCCTTCATGGCTATTGGAAATAATGAGGATAAAGGATCAAACAAGTCAAAATGGTTTATTGATAGCGGCTGCTCAAGGCACATGACCGGTGATCCTTCCTTGTTCATAAAGCTGAAATCAAAATCAAGTGGAAAGGTAACATTTGGTGATGATGTGAAAGCTAAGACAATTGGAATAGGTGATGTTGGTAAGGATGGTGAAACTTTTGTTCATAATGTGCTCTTGATTGATAACTTAGGTTATAACTTGCTTAGTGTTAGTCAACTGTGTGATAAAGACTTGTATGTGTTATTTAAAAAGCATGAATGCATTGTACTTGATTCCAAATATAATGTTGTGTTCAAAGGTAAGAGGTTTAATGACATATATATTGTGATTCTTGATAAAGTTGATTCTTCTAGCTTAAAATGTCTTAAACCTTCAAATGAAGATTCTTGGTTGTGGCATAGAAGACTTTGTCATTTTAACATGGATTTACTAAAGGAAATTTCGAAAAAGGAGTTGGTTAGAGGCTTGCCAAAAATTAGTTTTGATAAGGACAAAATATGTGATGCATGTCAATTTGGGAAGCAAACTAAAATTTCTTTTAAACCAAAAATGTGTGTATCTACTTCAAAACCTTTGGAACTCTTGCATCTTGATTTATTTGGTCCCACTCAAATCACTAGCTTGGGAGGTAAAAAATATTGTTTTGTAATTGTTGATGATTATTTCAGATACACTTGGGTGATATTTCTTGCTCATAAAGATGATGCCTTCAAGAATTTTACTTCAATGTTTGCTAAAGTGCAAAATCTGCTTGGGTTAAAAATTGTTAGGATTAGAAGTGATAATGGGACTGAATTCAAGTATTGTGGTTTTCCAGAATTTTGTGATCATAATGGTATAACACATGAGTTTTCTATTGCAAGGACTCCACAGCAAAATGGTGTTGTAGAAAGGAAAAACAGGACTCTCCAAGAGGCTGCTAGAACTATGTTGAATGAATGTAGGTTGCCTAAATATCTTTGGGCGGAAGCGGTAAACACTGCATGTTATGTGATGAATAGAATACTCTTGAGACCTATTTTAAAGAAAACTCCTTATGAGCTGATTTTTGATAAGAAACCTACGGTTGGTTATTTCAAAGTATTTGGTTGTAAATGTTTTATTTTGAATCTAAAGGAACATCTTGGTAAGTTTGACAAAAAATCTGATGAAGGAATATTTTTGGGGTATTGTGAGAATAAAAGAGGATATAGAGTTTTTAATAGAAGGACACTTGTGATTGAAGAAGCTATACATATAACATTTGATGAAGCCAATGATGATAATTCCAAAAGTTTGTGTGAGGATGATGATGTAGGTGTTCGAGAAGGAATGGAAAAGCTATCAATTGGAAATGAAGGAAGTTCTGAACCAGCAGCAACTGAAATGGAAAATGAAGTTCATAATGATCAAGAAGAGGAAGATGAAGACAAAAATGATGATCCACTCAAAGATCTTCCCAAGGCTTGGAAATTCAACCAAAATCATCCAAAAGAGCTTATAATTGGTGATCCATCCGAGAAGGTAAACACTCGTTCCTCATCTAGAAAATTGATTGATAATTTTGCTTTAGTTTCTCTTTTTGAACCCAAAAATATCAATGATGCTTTAAAGGATGAAAATTGGATTTTGGCTATGCAAGAGGAACTTAATCAATTTGAGAGAAATGAAGTTTGGACACTTGTTGATAGACCTCAAAATCAACCTATCATTGGCACAAAGTGGATTTTTAGAAATAAGTTGGATGATAAAGGTGTTGTTGTAAGAAATAAAGCCAGATTAGTTGCTAAAGGATATGCACAAGAAGAAGGAATAGATTTTGATGAAACATTTGCTCCCGTAGCAAGATTAGAATCTATTAGAATGCTTCTTGCTTTTGCTTGCTTCAAAGGTTTCAAATTGTTTCAAATGGATGTTAAAAGTGCCTTTTTAAATGGTTTTATTGATCAAGAAGTGTATGTGGATCAACCCCCAGGTTTTGAAAATACAAAATTTCCAAGTCATGTGTTTAAACTTTCTAAAGCTTTGTATGGTTTAAAACAGGCTCCAAGAGCTTGGTATGAAAGATTAAGTGGGTTCTTGATTGAAAAAGGTTTCAAAAGAGGTATTGTGGACACCACACTTTTTACTAAGCATGTGTTGAATGACCTTCTCATTGTGCAAATATATGTTGATGATATTATCTTTGGTGCTACTAATGAGTATCTATGTAAGGAGTTTTCCACCACTATGCAAAATGAATTTGAAATGAGTATGATGGGAGAATTAAATTTCTTCCTTGGACTTCAAATACATCAAACTCTTGAGGGAATCTTTATCAATCAAGCAAAGTATACCAAGGAATTACTGAAAAGGTTTGGCATGGAGGACTCAAAACAAGTTGGAACTCCAATGTGCACTTCCACAAAACTTGACAAAGATGAAGAAGGTAATCATGTGGATGAAAAGCATTATAGAGGTATGATCGGAAGCTTACTCTATTTAACTGCAAGTAGACCTGATATTATGTTTGCAGTTTGCTTGTGTGCTAGATTTCAATCGTGTCCAAAAGAATCAAATTTGAATGCTGTAAAAA